GAATCATGCAAAGCTACTCTAGCTGAAGAATATAACTATAGAAGTGGAATCTTTTAATATATGTCCACTTTTATTTAGCGTCATAAGGTCACTATTAGTGGTGCATCTCTAGTTTTAAATAGTATCATGCAGCTATTTCATGGTAATTTGGATGTTGATTAGAGCATTTCTATCTCTGATTCTAAATGAAAAAAATATATATATTGATTTAAGCTGCCATATGGAGAAACTTGATTATACCCAGTGGATTTTTTTCTCTCTTTTTGAGGTTACACAAAGTGGATGTAACACTTCAGCGTGTTGCTCTGTTATCCTGAGGGCGCTGCTTCACGGCTGGAAGTTCAAGACCTAAAAGATCTTGTGAAATGCCAAACTGAAACACAGCCGCCAAGATCTGGCTCTGAGAGGAAAGGCGGTGGTTTTTAAAAGAGTCTCTGGAGTGAGTTCAGCCACTAATGTTCTATCAAATGAGACCTTCAGGACTACAACAAGAAAAGGGGAAAAAAAACGTAAATGAGAGCAGGCATGACATTTGCTTCACACGAGGGGGTTCTCAGCAGAACCTAAAGCACCATAAATTATCCACTTGTGTTTTCTGGAAAGTGCATGCAGGGGGATTGCACATCCTCTGCAAACCACAGGACAAGTGCAAATACGGCTGAGTAAATTTACCGCTTGACATCAGTAAATCATTTCTGCAGGTGATGAACAGTCTGTGCCACAAGATGGAGAGAAGTGGAGAAGTGGGGGGAAGATGAAGGGGGGGGATATTAACACAAGAGAAAACAAGACGGGCAATGACGATGAAAACGGAAGCAGCGTGTGAAGGCACAACTCCAATTCAATTTGGTCTGATTTAATCTCATTCTGATGGCATTTTAACCTTTTGGACCAACAGTGGCAAATCAAGTCACGTCAACCTAGTTCTCAGCAGTTAGAGGGAAACACGGAGGCTTTACTGCCATGACAAAATGAAGCGTGGATTTGCAGCCAAAATCCTCCTTGCAAACATACATAACAGAAAAACCACCCCAAGGCTCAAAGGCCACCTCGACAAAATTCTAATCATTGCATGTCACAGAAAACACTCATCAAAAATCATCAAAAAACAGTAGAAAGTAGAAAGATCTTCCTTTTCAATTCCCTCTTCAGACGATTGACACACACAATAACAAGAAGTTCTATAGCGGAAAAACATGTTCTACTGTTTATCTTAAGGCTACTGGCGAAACCTGGCCGTGTCTCTCTTTAAGTGCTTTAAATATCACGTCATCGCATCAACAGGACGAGTCATTATTTTTCAGCCATCTCAGTTTTGTCACACTGCTGGTATGCCCGTCATTGTTGCACACAAGCAAAAAATCACAGTTGTAGCTCTACAGTAGATAGCTGGATATGTTGAACAGCTCAAGGTTTGACTTTAGACTTTAAATGTAAACACAGCTGAATGAATGAGGCAAGTGGATCAAGTCAGCTGAGTTGATTCAGACCTGCCTAGTCTATATTCGTCCAGCTTTAAATACAACCTGCCATTGGAGCAATACAAACATGTAATCTGGAGCCGCCACTAGACCCATAACACTGGAATGAAAACAAATAGAGAAAGAAAAATGGAGAGAGAAATGAGGAAAGCAAAAAAGGAAAAAAAAAAGTATATACAGCTGGTTGCTGTAGTTGAATGAAAAAGTGCAAACTGAGAAAGAAGGAAGACAGAAATGGAGATAAGCCTGTGTCCAGCTGGTGCCACACACACACTTCTTATTGTTGTTACGGCTGAATATGAATAAAGAAGCACTGAGACTAACTGTCTTCGTGTACGGGCTGCAAACACTATATAAGCCAAAGGGAACCACCTGTCACTGCTGACTGAAAGCTATTTGGCTCAAATTCAAAACCGCACAAAGCAGGAATACCATACAGACATACCACTGTAGCACACAGGCAAAGCTACAAGTACATACACACACAGTTAGATGCAGTTGCAAATAATAGTGAAGGGTAACCTGCGATGTTCAGATGTTAAATAATAAAAATTATTACAAGTGGAAAAAAATATGTCTTTTCAAGATTGATACTAAAAAGTATTTGGTGTAAAAATGTCCACATGAGAAAAATAGCTGAAAGTTATAATTAAGCATTTATAGACATGTTGAAAATACATGTCAATGTGGTAGATTCCTTTAGTTTGGAAAGTTTAGTTTTGCTTGCACTGGTGTTATAATGTCAGGCAGCTCTCTCACCGACCTCCTCTGCCATTAATTCAGTAATCTAAATCAGTGCGTCTGTACCAGCAGTGAAGTTAGAGACATAGCACAAAAAGGCCTGAGCCATTCAGCTCTGGATCAAGAACGCCCTGCAGCAAACTGTCTGCATTAAAGGGCCCTGTTTTAAGTAGACAGTCATTTTCTCTCCTACAGCTTACTTGCGGTACTCCCGCTCTCTCTCTGACACACACATGATGCCAGCAGAGGATCAAGTGGAAACCTGGATCAGGAGCAGCGATACTGCCCTTCCAGACATCTGGCACAAAATACGGCACGCCAAGAAAACCACTCTGAGCATGTGCAGAATGTAGATCAAATTTAAAGTTAAAAAAAAAAAAAAGTACGGGTCAAACCACCAAGCTGTTACTACCCAGAGTTGATCACCCACATAGACACTTCCTGGATTGTACACAATCACTCTCCTTCTCTAGAAGGTTGTTTTGCATCTGCATCATTCATTGCATGTGTAACGTCTAACTTTATCCTGTCCCCGGCCTTATCATTTGTCTGTGCCTGCTGATTTGTCACAGCCTGCTGCTGTGCATACTCTTTAATAAGTGTATTTGTTACTTTAAAGTAATCCCAAGTACAAATGCATACTGACACATGTACACACCTTGCACCTGCGTCCCCTCGTAAACAGTGTGAAACATTTCAGCTAAAGACCAGCCTTGAGTCAATATCGCAAAGTAAATAACGCCAGTGTGCAGGCTGAAAGGCCCTGTTGTAAAATCTCCACACAGAGTGATGCAACTGTTCAAAGGGCACAATACAAATAGCAAGATAGGACAACAGTGTGTTGTCTTTACAAGAACTTGCGTTTTCTCAATAAGGACAGTTGGGATATTTTTGCAAACAAATTTTATGCTCAAAAATGCACAAAATAATATATGCGTGCAAAATAGAGCTAAAAAAACGACGACTTCTTTCTGTGATTCTGAACTTTTTGAATGTTTCCTTGTGTTGCACAATCTTCACCCTACATTTTGAAGTTGGCGCCAACAATAAAATACAGCACAGATAAGATATCACGGTGCTTTACCTTTCCAGAACAATGAACGATTATTTAAAATAATAAAATAAAAATAAAAATCGAGTGTGCGATTGCCAGGAGGCTCAAACATCTAACTGCACCATAAAACAGTAACTCTTAAGAATTCAGACCTCCAAGGAAAGGAAATCAGATAACATTAGTTGTCTTTGCTAAGATTTGTGTCAAGGAGTTGTTTACTTTAAAAAACCTGACCTAACATGAGTGCTCTTAGTGGGAGGGCACTTGAAGAGATTCAACGGTAAGTTTGAAAGAGGGTGTGGCAGCTTGTGGTTATATTAAAGCTTGAGCAAAGCCAGCTGCTGACTGCTGTGATTCTTTAGTCGGTGTCATAATACCAAGGGAAGCATGAACGCACAAGCACATGTGATGCATTCACTGCTGTAACTTATTTTGAAACCCCTTGATTAGGGAATAATAACTGACACAAAGGAGAAAAAAGGGAACCGATTACACAAACATTTAGTCAGTGAGGTGAAACCTTTGCTTTGCTTAAACAAGTTCTCCATTAAATTGGAGGAAAAAAAACATTACTCTTTTTTGGCAAAGTATTAGACATTTAATACATCTGTTTATCTTGTTCACAGTTGTGGGAGGCAAGAGGAAGTTCCAGCAAGCACCAAACAGGTAAAACAGACAGCTCATTTATCAGGGGGCACAGAACTATGAATAGGCTGACATCTACTTTCATGTTTATAGTTGGAGACTAATAGCCAATGCATTCAAGAAATCTGAAAACGTGGAATATAAAGAACAATGCAGATATGAGCAGGGCATATAAATCCCACAAAGATAGGCTTTTTTGCCAGTCGGTAGATTCTCCAATCCTGCAGCTTAAAGCTTCCTCGACTACAAACATTGTTTGTAACCATGATGCTCCATAATCAGGCCCATCAGCAAGTTAGCAACCCGAAATGTATTATCCGTTTCAAAAATATCCATCAATGGGCTGCTTACCACATTTGCCCTGCACTGTGTAAAAGGAGGATTCAGCCACTTAAGGTGTTGGTTGACACAGTTGAACTGCTTGGAAAACACTCAAGCTCTGTACAAGAAGGGCCAATGTTGGCTCCATCTTCTGTGCAGGCTGAGGTCTTCTGGGGTGTGCAGGTCCTTTACGACACAGCTATGGCTTCTGCAGTCTTTTATCTAGTTGTCTGCCAAGTAGGTGGCAACATGAAGCAGGATCAGAAACGACTCAATAAACTGGTGAATAAGGACGGCTCTGTTTCCTCGACTCCACAGAGGTTATTTGTGAGACAAGGATGTTACCCGAGCTAATAACCTTCACGGACAGCACCACCTATCACCTGTATGAGACAGTGGAGGCTGCACACTACAATACCCTATATAAGATAAATACCTAATAAAAGAAAATATTCAGTGTATCTATTATTAGTCACACTGCACTTTTTGTACATACAAAAAAACTCTGTGACATATCTTTTGTGTTTTAACATATACACTTCCTCGGAGTGGGATTAATAAGCTCTGTCTATCCATCTAGAGGTTGCTCCCCTTTAGGCAGTATACCCCAGTAGGCAAACGTACACTAGTGATGTCTTTAAAACCTCAACGTGTTAAAAATTGTTTGCTCAGTCTCTAAATTTGCACCAAGGGGTCACTAACATTGACATTTACGTGTTTAAAAAGAAACAAAATGATGTGTTTTTCTCTTAACTTACGGGGCTCTGTAGTATCTGTGTGACACGTTTCTTCTGCTCCAAAACGTTGAAGTCCTGTCGGAGGTCGGGAGACATGTTCCTGGCCCTGATGTACTCCGGATCATTCACGTCGACACGGTCGAAGTAGCGCTCCTTAGTACCTCCACCAGGCAGAGGAGGGGTGGTCACCACCCCCTGATGGCTGTCCGCACTCATGCCTGTTTCACCTCACTTGCTTGCTCTACAGCTGCCACTCTGACTGTCACCTGAAAAGCAGAAAGGTTGACATGTTACATGACACATATGAAGCAATTTAAAAAAAAAGGCAAGCAAGGAGAGTTTAACATTTAAATTAAAAGAATATTTCTTCAGGGTGTTTGTGGTTTTTATGCACATAAAATGAAGGGTGGTAATATACCAGGAAAAGGTGTAGCATGCAAATAAAACGGGCATCAAGATCTAAGTCAGATTAGCCTGTAAGGAAAAATGCAAAAGCTGAAATGTGCCATGTATCGATCACAGGATTTATACTTTTGTCGCTCTTAAACATGAATATTTTTCAATGAAAGTTAGTTGAATGCCAACAAACAGTCATGTTTAAAATTAGCTAAAGGCACGTAGCATAAACGAGACCAATGATGAGTAAGAAAATGGCATGCCTACCACCTCTCTTTTATCAGATGAAAACACACGGAGGTGTATCATAAACAGGAAAAGGAAGTCCCTGTTATCTCTATACCATAGAGGTGCTACTCTTCGGTTTGATGGAAATAAAAGTTCTATCCTGCAGTTCATGTCATTCGCTTGCTGAGTCACGACTACATGTAGGTCTTGGTTAGGTCACACTGACAGATCAACTAACAAAGCATACAAATGGGGGCGGGAGGAATTTTGTTTTGACATCCAAGACCTTGACTGCTGAGGTGGTTTACTCCCACTGTTCATTCTCAGGTCAACTGGCATGACAAGCATTTTGCAGGATGCAGGAATTGGTAAATGCAACAATAGAAAATGACTTCAGCGCTTTGCTTTCAGGCCAAGAGTCAAAGCCAATAAAGTCAAAACAAAAATACTAATACAAAAGATTAAAAAACAAAATGCAAGCAGAGATTTTAAATAAATAAACACTGCATCCTCCAGGAGCCCTTGTCAGCATACGCAGCTGCAGTTACAGTGCCAAATAGTAAGATGCTGGTGTATCATGAAGAGGCGGAGCTTATGGGATGGCTACCAGATGGTGTCTTGGCTTGGACAACAGAGGAATGACAGCAAAAAAGTTCAAGGAAATAGATCCGAAGTTTTTTTTT